TATATATATATATATATATATAAATTTATGTTCACTTCAGTTTATAAAGCAGCAAGTCACAACAGAAGTCATCTCAGGACACTATACAGAAACCTTCATATACATAAGATTAAGTTAAAATTATTTTTCAGAGGAGCAGACTGCTTTGTGTTTAACTTCATCACAGAACTCTCATCTTGAGCAAGCTTACAGGTGACAGTGGGAAGGAAAAAAACTCCCTCATGAGGAAGAAACATTATGCAGAACCAGGCTCAGGACAAGTGGCCATCTACTTTGACCGGCTGGGTTTGACAGGAACAGGAAAGAGGAATAGATACACAATGGTAGGTCAAAAATCACATTATAAGGCAGAAATAGTATCAAATGTAAACTATTCAATTTTAACAATTCATTTTAAGAAATGAGGTAAAATTATCCTCCAGTAGTCTAAGCCTATTGCAGCATAATAAGCCAACCCTAATTATAGGATTTATCAAAAAGGAAAGTCTTAAACCTAATTTTAACAAGCACGTAAATGTTCAACAACCTGTTAAAATACACCAAAATGCATGAAATCACATCTACTTTAATCAAAATGTTCTGGGGGAGAACCTTCTCTAGCTGCTTCTTGATACAGAAAGATGACCCTCCCGTTCACCTGGGTGAACTCCAAAACAGAAACTGTGTGTCAAGGTGAGCCCAACAACATCAGGCTGGTATCACTCAACCTCATATAACCACACCTGACATCAATGAGCCTACTCACAGGTGGTGGGCCTACAGAGAGGTGGCCTCCTGCCACTCTGTAGGGCTTGGTCCAGCCAAGTCCTCAGGAGTCTTGGCAGGCCCCCAAAGCCTGGGGTGCCCCACATTCCCTAGTTTGGTAAAGGTATCGTGATGAGTTAGATGTTTATCCTTGAAGTTCTTGAATCGCTCTTAGTCTGACCCTTCCCCTGAGGCCAATTTGCCATAGGAGACCCTACAAGAGACTGATTCCCCTTACATCATTGACCCTGGGTTCACAAGGGTATTCAAAGGCTTTTACCACAAAAAGGTGGCAACTCAGGGGTTGATTTCAACAGTCCATGCAAGTTTTTAGCATTATTTTAGCTTGATGATTGTAAAATTGTCTTTCCTATTGACATTTTTCCATTTTAAGGGCAGATGTCTGTGGCTGCTTTTTTTGAATTGGCTGAATTTCTAAAGTTAATCAGATGTACAGCAGGTGATTAATTTCTTTATGTCACCTTAAAATCTGTCCAGTTGTTCATGAGATATTTTGCTAACACAGTAGGCAAAGCAAACACACATATACAATTAAAAACATCACCAACACCATTCACCTTTCTGCATTAGTTGATAAGAATACATTATAGTTGGAACGTATCAGAGGTTCTACGGAAAATAGTTTATTGTGGATTTTCTAATTCTGTTTGATGGAACTGAACCAGGGGCAGCACGGTGGCGCAACTGGTAGAGCTGCTGCCTCTCAGCGAGCAGGTCCCTGGTTCAAACCCCGGTCCAGGGGCCTTTCTGGGTGGAGTTTGCATGTTCTCTCCGTGCATGCGTGGGTTTTCTCCGGGTACTCCGGTTTCCTCCCACAGACCAAAAACATGCATGTTAGGCTGATTGGTAACTCTAAATTGTCCCTAGGTGTGAGTGAGAGAGTGAATGGTTGTTTGTCTCGTTTGTCTCTATGTGGCCCTGTGATGGACTTGCGACCCATCCAGGGTGTACCCCGCCCCTCGTACAGTGATTGCTGGACATGGGCACCAGCGACCCCCGTGACCCAAAATGGAACAAACGGGTAAAGAAAATGGATGGATGGATGGATGGATGGATGGATGGAACTGAACCAAGAACAAAATGAAGGTTTCACCAAACAGTTTCAAAGACACTTCCACCAAAGTCACCCCAGACACATTTATTGCTGTCATTTTAACCTTTACTCCTATAGGTACATAATTTATATGTCCATGCATTGTATGTATCTTTGTTGTCAATACATACTTCCGAGTGTTTCTTTTGCCTGCTGACAGTGTATCATCACTGCAATCCCCTCCTGTTGGTGCCTTTGGTTCATCACACTGGTCCTCACACACCCACTGCCCAGCCAAAGTGCTGCTCACACAAACAAATGAACAAGATCCCTTCTCATACGAAACTCTGTCAGTGCTTATTGTCACCCTTCTACAAATTAACCATACGATTCAGAGAGCTGTTTGAACAAATATTAGGAAGTCATAAAATGTCATATGAAGCACAGAAAATTTACTTTTTATGAACACAGGGGGAAATTCTGACCCAACACAAAGTACATTCTCCTCAGTTCATCATCTGTCAGTGTTGAAATGGGAGCTGCAGCTTGGGCAACATCAGAAGCAATCGTGTACCAGCACTGCTGTGAGTCCCATCTGTGATTGTGGGCTTGTCGGCGCTATAGCTAGCAATCAGATGGCTTGTTTCAGCAGTAGAGGGAAACGTGCCTGGATGTGGATGATGCATGTGGGAGAAGTATTTCTATTTTCATGCATGAAAAATAAGCATAAAAGAGTCTGCTCTACAACCCTGAGTCAATATGTAAAGTCTCAGCACAAAGCATTTTAATTAGGACGGTAGGGAGAAATATGTTTGTTTTAAGCTGTTGGACGTATAATGTGGCTAAACCTTCCAAAATCATCATAATAGATGGCAAGCTACAAGAAATTGTTTGGCTAGAAGCTGGACTACAATAAGAAAAGCAGATTTGGGCTCTGCTAGAACTCTGGCTGCTTTAAAATAACTTTTTGGAATGATATTTTATAAACTTCTTGTAAAACAAAGGAGAACATAGCAGCCTAAATGGTAGTGTACACCACTGAACAATTAATCCCACCCAACCTACAGTAAATGTTTGGCTCTGATTTGATGTTACTTTTATACCTGAGAGTCTTTTTTATGTTTATTTACTCTCATATCTAAAATGTAAAGTCAAATCTCATCTACTACACACCATATGCTTTTTTAAATGGATACTTTTTGCTATATATTTGGTAAGAAACACTAAAATTGTTGATGTAAAAATACTGATGCAGAAGCTTGTTTCATAAATTCATTTAATTTTATCTCCTAGAAAACGAAATAAAACATTTTACATCTATCTAACCTTAGTTTGATTCTTTCATCTATTATCTTTAGCCACATCTTCCTTTTTGGGCCACGGGGGTCACTGGTGCCCATATCCAGCAACCACTGTGCAAGAGGTGGGGGACACCCTAGACAGGTCTCCAGTCCATCACAGTGACACATATGGAGACAAATGAGACAAACAACCATTCACTCTCTCACTCACACCTAGGGACAATTTATAGTCACCAATCAGTCTAACGTGCATGTTTTTGGTCTATGGGAGGAAACCGGAGTACTCGGAGAAAACCCACAAATGCACGGACAGAACATGCAAACGCCACCCAGAAAGGTCCCCAGCCAGGATTCGATCTGGCAACCTTCTCGCTGAGAGGCAACAGCTCTACCAACTGTGCCACTATGACGATCTAGTTTCCCTTAAATTTTGAATGTGTGCTGAAATGGATAGCAACGTTGCAGAAATTGTGGATTAAAAGAACTAGAGTAGTTAGTTTTTTGATGGAGTCCAGTTTTGTTCTCTGTGTTTTGATGTGCAGGTATGCCACCTACCGTAGTTACATGGACATTTCAGAATGTTTCTTAGAATTGTGTGGATCAAATCTTTGAAATAAATGAAACAATAATAAAGCAATCCAAAGTAGTGTTGATGGGGTCTAATTGATAATGTGGAGTTCAGTATTACTGTTGTATGCCACCTTTTATTTTTTTTTTCATGAGATTTTGGGGCAGCTGTGGATGAGTGGTTAGAGCAGTAATCCTCCAATGCAAGAGTTGGGGGTTTGATTCCACCAGCAGTCACATACCGAAGTGTCCCTGAGCAAGACACTGAACCCCTCATTGCCTCCAATGTGTCCGATCGGTGTATGAATGTGATAAAGCACTGATTGTTCTTTGTATAGATATAGTAGAGTGCTGAATGGGTAAATGAGGGCACAGATTGTAGTGTAAAGCATTTTAAGTATGTTAATAAGATAGAAAGGCGCTATATAAGTACAGTCCATTTTCCTTTTTTAAAGGCACGTGTATTGAAGCCAGCGTAGATTTTTTTAAGGGGCACTTTGTTGTAATTGACTTTAAGGCACTTCTTTTTCAAATTTGTCTTCATTTTAGACCTTTATTCAACTTTTCAGTCTGAGGTTTGCTTACCTTTTTCTGTTTTGACATTTAATGATATAGAGAATGATGACAGCTGTCTCCAAAACCAGAAAGACTGCAGCAAAAATAGCTCCAATTTTCCAAGCCTTCAGGCCTCGCTCATCTGTCTCTGAACAGGGCAAAGAGAAGACAAAATAAGTCACTGGATTTATTATACAAATCTTTTTATTTTATCACCTATTTCTTTCTTTAGTGGTCACCACATTGTACTGATTTTGAACCAAAGATTTGATAATTGCTTAGTGTCAATACCTTTCCAAACACTACCTGGACTTGAACCTGCAGCCTTTGGTTTACAAGACCATGTCTCTGACCATCAAGCTACCGCAGCCCAAATTTATTGTACAAAAATTATCTTTAAATAACAACAAAAAACTCACACACTCCCATTTGCCAAAGATTTCCACTAAAATATGCTGTCAATTTTAATATAATATATACAGTATATACTCTTTCTGTTGTGCATATTTACCTCTGTTTCCAGATAAATCTTTCACTAGTTGATTGGCCTCCCTTGGTTCCCCTCCCTTTGCCTGATGGTATTTAGCTAGAACATCATTCTCAAAATTATCAATTGTAGGTTGACTCCTGTCATGATTGTGTGGCAAAAAGTTCTCAGTGGGGGTGATGATCTCATTGCCTTTGTCACAATTTTCATCCCAAAGTGTATTTTCTTCACTTTCCGCCTCACTAGCTGGTGGGTTTGGGGTGGGCGGCTGGTCTTCAAGTCTGTGAAAGGCTTCAGTACTGTCCTCAAGCTGTATGCCAGGAATCAATGACTCTAGAAGAAAAGTTTGGTATGTGACATACATCTGAAAATTAAGCTGAGGTCAAAGCTTATGGTTTGTTTAAGGGAAAGACCCACAAAAAGTGGAAATGTTTGCTACAGCTGAGAAGAGCTCTGTACTGAGAGCAGGATATACAGTATAACATGAGTCATGACAAGTATGCACCAGCAGAATGCCTCTAAACGTGACTACAAGGATAGATGTACATTTTTTAAAAATACCATTAGAACTGATAAGCTGGCAATAGTTACAGTATGCCATAAAAGTCTAATTACACTATGGTATAGTACTTATATGTAGTACGATGCAATGCTTTGGACACAGTGATTCCAAAAGGCATCAGTGTCAAAGTTTTTATTATGTGCCACCTACTTTTCCCTGAAATCAAATCAAGATGGAGACACTACGTTGCTAATCCCAAAGCTGCTGAGTCTCGTGGTTCTGAATTGTTGTGATCCATATTATGAGGGTGCTTTACATTCTAAACATTTTCAGTAACCTATACAGATGAACTAAGATAAAACTTAACAAGGCAGGTAATACTTTGTGTGTTGTGAAGTTTAAGTTTACCTTGAACATCAACGTAGTGAAACTTCTTCAAAGTAGTTTGTTCTTTTCCAACTTGAATGTCTCCTCCCTCATTCACTGATGCCACTGACTCCTCCATGATTACACCGTTATCATTTTCTTTATCTGCTCTTGCTTCTTTGAAATACGTACCCTCTGTTTCGGTCTTCTCCTCCTCACCTCCCGCCACTAAATCTACATTTGTATCTGCTTTCTCTTGTCCTTCTGCATATTCTCCTCCCTTTGCCACCTTGCCCACCTCAGCTGTTTCTCCTACAATGGGTTCTGTTGTTTTTATATCAGAATCTTTAGATGGAAGAACAATTATCTCTCCATTCAATTCAGTTATTGGAGTTTCTTCCTTCGAAAATACTTCTTTTCCCCATTTTTTTTCTTTCTGCTCACCATCAGCTACACCCAGGCCAAGTTTAGACTCATCCACAGTTTCCTGCTCTGGCTGAACATCTACTACCACGTCTACAGCAGCTGGAGTTTCCTCTTTGTCGCATATTTTAATTTCAGTGGCATTTCTTAAAACTGGCATACCTTGTTCTTTGCTGTTCTCTTCATTTCTTTCTAAATCTGCTATTGTCTCTTCAGAGGCTTTTTCCAAAACCTTCGGAATGAGTTGAGTTCCTGGTGACTCATGAGTAATCTCCAAAGTCTCTGCCTCTCTGACTCCAGTTTCCACACCTTCTGTGATCTTTTCCATAGACCCAGCTGCTGTTTCACCCTCTACCTTGACAACTCCCCTCTCTTCAACAGCTACATCTTTAAATGCATCTGCCTCTGCTTCTGCCTCCTCCTCAAATCCAGCATCTCCTTCCTTAAGATTTGTATTTTTATCCAACAGTGGCTGCTCCAGTGTTTCAGCTTCGAGTTGTCCTGTTTTGACACTATGAGCATCATGGTTGACTTCTTTCTCTGCCGCTTCATCTTTTGCTTCACCTCCTCCTTCAGCATGACCCAGAGCTGCTTCTACCACCCTCTCCAACAGCTCCTTTAACACTTCCCCTGCCCCACGACTGTTCACTTGCTCTGAGGCTTCCTGTACAGCTTTCTGCACCTCTTTTAAACTAGGAGGGGACACTACTGGCATTTCTGCAGCAGGGAGCTCTGGGTGCTGGGGTATGGTCTGGCCATTTTGGTAGGTGACCTTAGTGGAGTAGTTAGACTGGTTTGGAGTAGGCCCACCTATGGAGATATTTTTAATTATTTTTATTGTTGTGTTGCAGTTGTAAACACAAGAAATCCATGCACTTTAGTTTGATTCAGGGTCTGCATTTACATAGATTCACACTGATGGAGAGGATGACGACTGAACACATTTAACGACTGACATGCTTAATATGGCTTCAGAGATGCAGCTCAAATCTGCAGACATGCAAATTCCTACTAAATAATGAGTGAAATATTCAGTCACTTTGCCTTTTTCTTTATTCACTCATCAATTGATAGGAAATATCGAACACACATTTGTAAAAAGTAAGCTTCTTTCAGCTGCTCCCTTCTACAGAGATCGCCACAGCTAGCAAGCTTGCATGAAAGATTTGGCAATTGTTTTTTGCCTGACGCCATTCCTGATGCAACCTGGGCTCCATTCTGCAAACTGAAGATTACAAGATCGTGACACTGACCACCGAGCTACCACTGCCACACGTTTGAACAAAGTCCACACAGTATATACTGGTACTTTAGATCCAAGGTTATTGAACAATGTTATTAAAAATCAGAAATAGTTAATGACCAGTTTGACCCTTTCATTTCAAGTAAAGCAATGCAAACATAATCAAATTCACCAGTGTATAATCAAATTCAGTTGAATAATGCCAGCCTACCTTCAGATGTGCAACACTGTTTTAGCAAAACCACAAGGAGTCCCATAAATGTAGAATACCTCATGTTTTCATTAAAAAGGAGCATGGGAATAAAATAAAAATAAAAAAATCCAATATTTCCAAGGAAAATGCCTTTTACTTTCTTCTGTCATCCAAGAATCTTACTCAAATGTCAAAAGTGAGTATGTGCATCACCGCAGTAAGTGTGGGAACATTGGCTGGTTGGACAGTAAATTGGACCTCTCCAAGGAGGTAAAATGTCAACAGGTGACGAAGAAGTGAGGGAGGGTGAAGAAATGAACATTACCATGTCAAATACTGCCCCACAAACGTTTGGTCGTCGTACCAAGTGTCTCTACATGAGGTGGCACTTACATGTCAAATGCTTTTGAGACTCTTACAAGGGTTGTGGTAAAGTAGCAGCAGCTTGTCACACACAGTGAACTCTGGAGGAGCAATTATAGCAGAGCTGTGAAATTGGGATCTGATGATTATATCAGAGGTCTGATACAGAACTAAAGAAAAGTAGATCTGAGTATAGAGAAGTAAGTTGATAACAATGCTGCATTGCATTAAAAAAGTAGCATTCTCTGGAGTAAACACATACAGATACAGCAAACAAAGTGACTAGTTTATGTTTTTGTTGCAACATAATCACATAGCTTTTTCTTCTAGACTTATGTCAAAAGTCTTATGTCCAAAACTACAAAAAAAGCACTAATGTTAGCCCTCATAGTTTTCTACAGTTAATCAATCTAAAATCTGTGTATTTTATTTTATGTGACAAAAAAAACAACAACTTGTGGGCAGCATCAAATCCCAACTGGGGCCTTTCTGGGTGGAGTTTGCATGTTCTCTCCTTGCATGTGTGGGTTTTCACCGGGTACACCGGTTTCCTCCCACAGACCAAAATCATGCATGTTAGACTGATTGGTAACTCTAAATTGTCCCTAAGTGTGAATCAGCAGTTCTTATTAGGCATTACATTATAAACAACCAAATTATATTCAGTACATAGTGTGACAAATGTAACATCGATCTTTCCACTTCAAATTTAACTGATGTATATTTTTCAAACAATAATTGTATAGAAATACAACTGAACATAAATGGGTTTACTCATTAAAATGTCATGTTGAGTGGAAAATAAAGATTAGGATAAGGAGGTTAAGAAAAGAGCTGCAAGTTGATGACTGTCGTAGAAAAAACAAAACAAACCAAGTATAAGTTCATCAGATTTATTATAAAGCTTTGGAGAACAGCTAACATTCACAGAGGATCAATGCATTTACAAGGTCACACTTATCAATGTCTTCACCTCTCTGAAGCGCTGACCGATCTGACTTCCTGACCTGAAAAAGTTAGTTTTGTAGAATCACTCCAGCGCCAGCCCTCACCCCCCCGCAACCACACACACACTCACTCACACACACACGCACGCACGCTGCTGAGTCGTTATCAGCAGTGTAGTTGCAAAGGGACACATCAGGGAGTTGGTTGTGAAAACAGAGACTCAAGGACTCTATAAGACACATCACTGTATCACATCAATTGTATCATATCATATCAATCAAACCTTGAGAATTATCAAGATTATCTCTTGCAGACCCTTACTGACCTGTCACACCAAGACTGATTAATACATCAAACATTTTTATATCAGTTCACATCACAATACAAAAGCAGAAAAGTATGGAGCACGATGAGTGCAAATAATACACATTACCTTGAAAATGACAGTTTGGCATTAAATGCTATTTTTGTCTTAGTTATCATTTTAGTTTGACTTGTTTATTGTTTTTCTGTATTCTGCCCACAGACATGTTTTAACCTTAACTGTTTGCCATAATATCAAAGTTCATGCTCAGTAATCCGGGTAAAATTTCAACAAAGTTAAATCAGGTCCTTTGGACGGTTTATTTGTGTTGAAATGTTTTGTTTTTCATCCAAAGGACTTCATCAGTCCGAGAAGCCACAACAAGCCCAGTCCCATAAGTAGCACACTCACATAGGGGCGGCTGTGGCTGAGTGGTTAGAGCAGTTGTCCTCCAATGCGAGAGTTGGGGGTTCGAATCCACCAGCAGTCACATGCTGAAGTGTCCATGGGCAATACACTGAACCCCTCATAGCCTCTTATGTGTGTCCCATCAGTGTATGAATGTGATCTGAAGCACTGATTAGTCTCTTTAGAATTATTTGTTCAATTAGCTTTGTATAGATGTAGTAGAGTGCTGTATGAATGGGTAAATGAGGACACAGATTGTGTTGTAAAGTGCTTTGAGTATCTTGAAATAAGATAGAAAGGCACTATATAAGTACAGTCCATTTACATAGTGGGGTAACCAGTTTGATGGTGATAAGATGGTTTCTGGAGTCCACCCTGTCCCCCGTTGGCTCCTCTGAGGCAGCCATGGCCAAAGTGGTTCAAAACATCCAAGTTAATGCTCAATAAACCAGGTATGTATGCTATAACAACTAGTTTCTTCATGA